AGAATTTGCTCCTTGCACTACACTTTCACAAAACACGTGTGCTCTGGTCGGCTGCCCGCTAGGAACTCGATTAAACGACTGTTGATTACTTCGGGCATATAATACTGGAGTGTATAGAAGATATGGAGGTACCATACAATGCCATTGCGAAAAGTGTGGCTGAGTGAGCGAGAGAGACAGAATATCTTAGAAAATGTTGTCTGTCTCTCTCGCACAATCAGTCACACTTTTCGCCCAATGGCATGCTCCTCGGCTACCTCCAGTACTCCACTGCAAAAATACAAATAAATATTTTACTTGAAAGTATTATTTTGACATTTTGTTGTATTTTATTTACCTAAGATCGTAGTTAATCTCAATTGGTTAAGTACTATTCAGAATAACAGAGCAGAAAACCTTAGGGCATACACTACTGGAGGCAGCGTCCCAGTGGGCGAGAGTGTGGCGGAGTTTAGAGAGAGAGAAGGGTTTGGAGTGATTTTGCTATCTCTCTAAACCTCCGCTACACTCTCACTGCGGCATTGCGTAGTATATGCTCTAAGTTGAACATTTGAGGTCTTAGAACATATACTACTGAAGGCAGCGTCCCAGTGGCCGAAAGTGTAGCGGAGGTTGGAGAGAGATATATATCTATATATTTGCTATCTCTCTCTAGCAGCACGCGATTGGCTGCCGTCCTCACCCCCTGTCAACGACAAAAGCAGCTGTTCTCGGCAGAACCAATCGCATGTTGCTAAAGAGAGATAGCAAATTCCCTCCTGTACTACCTCTCTCTCTCTCTCTCTACAACCTCCGCTACACTCTCGGCCACTGGCAGGCTGCCTCCAGTAGTATATGCTCTAAGACTGAGGTAATAAAACATAGCTGTTTCGCCCATTGTATAGTATGAGCAAGGAGATGAGCAAATATTAGAAGAAGAAGAAGAAAAATCAATTGGATAAATTGATATACATTTTGTATATTTTGTTGCATTCTAGTTCTACCTCTACTTTCATTTTCAGGTTAAGAACAAATTGCAATGGAATTTTTGAGAAACTCAAGACGTTTAATAAAAGTAGGATCTACAATTTCAAGACTTTATAGTGTAAAATCTAAAGAAGAAATAGAAAAATTAGTCAAAAATAGCAAAGTTGTCGTGTTCATGAAAGGAGTCCCACAGCAACCCCAATGTGGCTTTAGCAATGCTGTTGTACAAGTTTTACGAATGCACGGGGTTAGTTATGATGCTCATAATGTGCTGAAAGATGATTCACTTCGCCAAGGTATTTTTTAAATTATATACTAATGTATTATGAATATATCGTATATATTCTAATAACTAATTATCAATTGAGTAAGTTTTGTTATATATGTGCAGGTACAAATGCACAATATAGGTATAATATAGACATTTGATTTTCATATATACAATTGCTATGTTGTTTAATGACTATTTTACATATAAATTTTATTATAAGGTACATAAACTCACCCAATTTTTAGGTATAAAAGAATATTCTAATTGGCCAACAATTCCACAGGTATATATAAATGGGGACTTTGTTGGTGGTTGTGATATAATTATTCAAATGCATCAATCGGGTGATTTAATTGAAGAATTGAAAAAGGCAGGTATAAATAGTGCTCTTTTGGATAAAGAAGAAAGTCCTACTGGTGAAACAAAGAAATAGTTACAACTGTTGCAATTCGAATAAATCCGAATACTAGTGAATTGCAACACACACATGGTTATTTACACGTGTTTTTTATGTGCTGTTTTATTGAAAATTGGTTATATTTAGATATATTCGTTAATGAATAAATAGAAGCTTGGCTTCATTTTGTTATGTTTAAATTTGTATTATTCTTCAATTCAAATTTAAATTTGCTTCTTGCAGTTATTTTAATTTTTTGTGTTGGTAGATATGAGAGGCATAGATCTTAGTATACTATATCAGATCTATAGGTAGATGGCACCGCAAATTGCATTGAACTTCGAAATAACAAGTGAAATGAGATTGCTTATTGTAAAATGTAATTTTAAATAATTTTATACAGAGTAATTCAGAATGATTGAAAATGTTGCTCTAGAAAGATTTGATGTACCATGCTTCAGTAGAGAGTTTTCAATATTATTTTAAACAAAGTAATGGCGCAAAAAAGGACAATTTTAAAAATTCCGCCATATTATAGATCCATTGGCAACACTTACAAGCCAAAATTATCTTCTGTTCAACAACCTGTGCCAGTAAAATTTAGCAATAGAGATGAGAGATGAGAAACCCGGCCATTTTTGTTGCTGACCCAATTCACTGGTTCCCGACCCTCAGGAGCTGAATTTGTCGCGTTAAATGTTGATTATTTATTGGCTATTTAGAAAGGATGTAACGCAAGAAAAAACAAATTTGCTATCTCTCTCTCGCCGAACGTGATTGGCTCACAACTGATCCTACCTGACAGAAACAATCAATCACATTCGGCAAAAGAGAGATAACAAAGTTCCTTCGTATTAGCTATCTCTCTCTTCGCCTTGTAACGCTCCCAGCCTTTGGCAGGCTACCTCCTGTTGAATATGCTCAAAGGATCACATGAAAACTGTTTTCTTAATGTTCATATCCGCTATTAATACAATGGTGTAATAACTGTGGTTATATTATCTTTAGAGTATTTACTACCGGAAGCAGCGCACTACGCGCCACGCGCCATTATTCCATGGCTAGAAAGTGGCCCCAAGCCCTAGTGGGCGAGAGTGTAGTGGAGGTTTAGAGAGAGACGGATATAGGAATGCATTTGCTATCTCTCTCTAGCAACATGCAATCGCGTGTTGCTGGAGAGAGATAGCAATCCTCATTTACCTCTCTCTCTAAACCTCCGTTACACTCTCGGCCACTGAGACGCTGCCTCCAGTAGTATATGCCCTACGATATTATCAGACTCAATCAAATTAAATCGAACTTGAAAGTTGTATATTGTACATATATTGTGCGCGCTCGTTGTAAAAGTGCACGTAAATCGAGATCGTCATAAGATGATTGATTTACCTCACCTCAGTCTTTCTTCTCATCAAAATGTCAAATCGAAAGCTACTATTCTCGATAATAAATTCTATGGTTCTGGGAAGAGAAATCTGATATTTCCATTATCTTAGTATTTTCCTTCCCTATCCAACGCAATTCAGTGGTCTAACGTCCAACATAACATACATAACCACTAATAATTAAGGAATTTCAAAAACGTTCGAAATATAGAAAATGAGTGCATCTTTAGTTCGCAAGGGTTTAGAAATCGTCGATTCTACTACTCATAACACAGGTGACAATGCCGTTTTTTATAATTGCAACATAATAGTATTTTTCTGATTAAAATTATATGTAACAAAATTAAAATCACAAGATTAAATTGAACAGAATGTAGAATGGGAACGCAGTTATGAGTATTTTACAACTTTTTAAATTATGTAGGTTGGGAAAGATGGTAATTTTTTTAATTAGAAGTTACTTCACTAGAAACTGATTTCTTTGTACTATTCATACAGGAGGCGCTTGCTGCCTTTATACATATTCTAATTATTTTTTAATAGGAATTACTAGATACAATTAAGTTTAAACATTGTTTCAGAAGTTAAGAAAATGTTAATTTATTGTGTTCCGAAATATTTTTTAAGGCTTTTACTTAATACATAGTTTCTCCCTTGTTTTAATACCTGTTATTTTAGACTATAAACTTGTTTTAGCTCCCAAAAAAAAGAAAGAAGTATTTGGATTAGTACCGCAAAATCAAAAATTTATTACCAAAAGGCACGTCAAAGGTGGAAAAGGTAAAAATAATATTATGGAAAAGCAATGTGTTACATTAATTTTACGTTTCAGTGGAAAAAGTAAATATACTTTCTCATAAAAATAAAATAAATATTGTCGAAGCTAAGAGAAATTTTAAAACAAGAGATCAAATTTTAAAGGAAAATTTAGAAAAGCTGAAATTAATAAAGGAAGCAAGTAAAGTCACATTAGATAAGGAAACTATAAATCAAGTAAGTGAAATTACTATCGATACAGGCTTAAAGAAATGTTTATGTTGATACATTTGATTTTCTATAGATATCTGCCTGTTGGCAGTGATAAGTGTGGCACCACACTTGCAGTTGAACGGCAGACACTATACTCCGCGGTCGAAATTATAGAGAGTGACTAAGACAATATAAATACACTATTACTATAATGCGCATAAAATATAAAATGATTTTTATAACGGTTCAATATTATTTATCTTTGTGCCGCTCACTACGCACATCGATAGAATCTATAATCGTCTATAGACTGAGTTACACTGAATGTCGATCTATATTCTATCTGTCTCTTGCACTTGGTAGGGAATAGGGAAATTATTTTTTAGTGGGTGTAAACGGACTTGATTTAGCCATCCTGAGAAACGTCATAGCATAAGCGTAGACGAGGGGTCTAATTCCATTGCTATAATAAATTTATAAATTAAAAAAACACAACTAGGACGTTTTAAAATGCTGTAATAATTAAAATGGATCAAAGTGCCCGTTATAGCAAACCGTAAAAAAATATTAGATGTTATGTTTTATTATCTTTTTTCAATATTTTCTATATCTTGTTGCCTTTTACGCAGACACGCCAATGGATTTTCGTTCTCGGCGCGCTTTATCTCTCTTACTAGTCCAAAAGCTAGCGATGAGTCACTCTCTATAATTTCGACCGCAGAGTATTGTACAATGCTTTGCATAGTAGTGTCACTTGCTCTTGACTTGACTTGACTTGACGGATGACTATAGAAACTTTTTCTTAAAACATCGGAACATTGGAAATTAAGGGAATACCTCAACCTGTCACTTGGGCTCCAAAAAAAAGAAGCTGTAGTAATAATTTCATTAAAACTTATTTTTGTCAGAACATAATGCAAGTTTTTTGGCTTATGAATTGTACTATACTGTACTGTAAAAGACATAAAAACACATTTTAATCCAACAAATCTACGTTATATTTTAATATTCTGAAACGTGAAAAATTTCAAGGCCGCAGTAAATTGTTACAGTAGTTCCAGTAATAGAACTTTATTGGCTTTTCTTTTGTCGGAATTCTACCTCAGCAAATATTATACGGTTTGTAGCTATGCCAATTAGTTGAGGTATACAAACAAAACAAGACTGAGGTGAGCAAAAAGAAAAACTTTAGTTAAATATGTAGACTATTCCGGAGGAACTGTTAAAAAAAATGCCACAATGGTAAAACTTTTAGTTGGTTTTTAGCAATTAGAAAAGTAATCTTTAAAACAAGCAGTTTCCTTTAAAAATTCAAACAAAAATAACTTTTACAGATTATCGAGAGAGCAGTTACAAAAAGGCCAGTGAAAAAGGTGAAGAAACAGAAGAAAGATAACAGCAAAACTGCTTTTACGGAGGAAGACTTTAAGAAATTTGAGGAAGAATATTTTGACGACTAAACGCAATGCACTTATCAGATCGTTTCCTGGGAACGATAGAACTTGGATTGAGCGTCGGTACACTATTATATTTATTTTTCCTGTTAATGTTGTTACCGATTTTACCGGTTACAGAAAATATTTTTGAGGCGTATACACCTCCACAGATGATATTACTCGGTAGTGGAATTTTTGGCTTAGTTTTTATTGGAAGTTTATCTATTTTTACATTCATTATCTTACACAAAGAAAAATGTAGATCAACTAGGAATTAATAAATTTTATCAAAACATTACGTAAATGAAATACGTTACATCTGATACGGGCCTCTTCCAATTCCAGCACCCCACCACGGCCTGAAAGAATAATATGATTAATAAATTATTAGTAAATTCATAATTTTTACAATATATTTTCTAAAATATACGAGTAGATTGTACCGGGTGATTTTTTTAACCTGAATCTTTCAAATATTATTATTGGCCATTCCTGGTACTGTCAACTTAGAAGCAAATTAAGACATAGAACTGCCAAGGCTTCGACAATTCCCCAATTTATATTATTTTGAGAAACTCCAAAGAAACAATAAACAAAAAAGTAATTACGCTATTTGTGCTAAAAAATTTATTTTGTTGCTGATATTATTTATCATCTAATAAAATTTAAATTTAAAAGAAAATTCTACCAAATTAGTTAGTTATATAAATAATATAAAATATAAAATAAAAGCTTACGTACTTACATTTGGCGGTACTGGACGGATCTCTCTGAAGTAACGAAAGCCCGTCCCCTCGTTCCCCTCGCAATTCGCGTAGACGCAAGGAATTCTCTGCTGATTTTATTATATCCCGTGGGGCCAGTGGGTTGAGCCCCGCAGGTTTCAAGAGCAACGAAGTCATCCACGTGAAGTGATGGTGGTCTGGACGTGTTAGGTGGTCTCGATCTAAAGAGGTCCGGTCTCTGCTGGATAGTTCTTGCAAAGTTCTTTGCTCTTATCGGAGCCACTGTGAAAGGAAACGTCAATTCTTGTAGTCCACTATTTATTTAGTTGACCAGGGGTTAAGCGGTTTTTAAATTAATTACTACAGGTGAAAGAATTTCTATTATGCAGAAATGAAATTTGTTATAACTACAGTAAAAGCCTTGGTTCATTAAGCTTGGCTTTTTAACTAATTTGACATCAACATCGAAGGAATTAAATCTGAAAGTACTGGGTAGAAACTGTATTGCTTCTATGATAAGCACATTAAATGCGCTTAAAGCTAAATTGGAGCTCTGGAAATCACATATTTGGAAAGGTAATTTCCCATATTTAAAAATGCTAATAGAAAATTATTGCCATGGAAATGCTACCACTCGTCAGTTTGCCAAACACGCTAGAGATAATGCGATCGCCGATTGGTTGAATAGAATTTCATGAAATATCACACCAATCACCAGCCAGTAAAACAACATGTGTTTTAATGTGATCTTGATCTTATTGTTTTAATTTTTCCAAAATTGCTATCATGAAGGAAATAAAATTTATGCTCCACACAAAATTACTGGTTATGTGGCTTGTAATCATTTATGAATGCTCTGACAGCAAATGACATCATAACGAAGACAAATTTTGGAATTTAATGAATGGAAATAATTTCTCATTGTTGAGAAAATGTGTTCTAAAGTCGGGTCCACATTAAACCGACAAAACAAAACAAAAACAAAACTTTTAGGCAACAAAACTGTTTCGAAACAAAGTCTACACCACAGTCCATTTATTCAAAACAAAACAGCAACAAACATTTCATGTTTCAGTTTTGTCCTTGCAGTCCTCACCAGAAGCATGTTTCGTTACCGTTTTCGTAATGCCGAAGACGACAATTTCGTTCTAATAGCTGGTTATTATTATATTTTGTTAAATTTTAAGTGGAAAATAAGACGTTTTTGGGTGAGACCCACTTTGCGAAGACGAACGAATCACGGAGTAGAAAATTTAATTACAGATATCCGTGAAGACAACAATGGTTTATCAGGCGGGATACATTCTAGTTTTACCAATTTTTTCTTTACCGTTTTCCCATAACAATCGGGTTTCTCGATACATCTCTATTAATTTACAAGTGTTATCCACTGTCCACTTCGTTTTTTCTTACACCGTTTCACAGTAATTACATTTAACAAATGAGCACACGTGAACGATATTTAAAGTTTTGTTTCTCCGTCCACACTGAATTGACACAGTTGCCGATAAAGCAAACAAAACAGAAATCCTTTCATATTTACCAACAAGCGACGGGACTCGAAATTGTTCAGAAATCCGGTGACAAAACGGAGCCGAGACAAAAAAGTTGCTGAAATGTTGCAACTTTGTTGCAGCATTGTTGAAAAACATACAGTTTCTGTTTTGTTTCTCCTTTGTAGGTTTGATGTGGACCCGACATAACTGACGGTCATTTGGACCAATGCCTACGAACTGGGAATTCAATTTATATGCCACATTTCAAGATGGCATTATGTTACATCAATATTTTCATTTCATGTTTAAATATTGCTTGCCCCTCCCTCATCTTTATCCCAAGGTTACCATCAAATTCCCACATTTCTGGTACGAGGATTGCCTTTTATATTTCGAGTGTAGAGAACAAAAAAAAATTAATGATGATATATGGTTTGATTGTTTTTCAAAATATTCTCTATACCAAGGGTCGGCAACTGGCGGACCGCGGTCCAGGTCCGGACCGCGGAAGGTAAAATACTGGACCGCCAAACATTTTTTGAAAGTATAAATTACTCAAATAAATTATTTGAAAAATGTTTTTTACGTTTAAGTGCCAATCTTATCATTTTTTCTAGTATTTTATAATTGTGTGAGTGTTTTGAGTTTTTAATTAGTAAGCAGATTAAATGTGAGTCCAAATTAAAATAAAAAAAAATAAGAAATATGAATTTTTTTCTGGACCTCGTTAAAAATTTTCAAAAATATCCGGACCGCACCTAAAATTACTTGCCGACCCCTGCTCTATACAATACAGTTTTGCATGTGCTTGAACCAATTTTCGAAGCAACGTGAACAAATTTTTTTGTCGGCCAACTGTTCATGCAATATTGAATATATGCTGGTCCCACTAAAGCTTGTCGATACGATAAGTCACATTCTTGCATATTCTGGAACAACGATCGATTTTGGTCGACCTTCACGAAATTCATCACTGAGCGAACCAGGGCCACAATTAAATTCCGTATACTACAGTTATACAGTTTTTTTATGGTGCTTCGTCAAATGCACTGTTGTTAATCCACGTCAAGTTTAAAAAAAAAATCGCACTGAAATGTTCATGTCTTAATTCCATTTTTTAACTGAAATGAACTTTTCAGTTCACAGTAAATAACACAAACAGTGCCTGAACGTTAAAACGTTCCAAGTAAGTATACCGACAAAAAATCAAATTTTACGATAGGAATATCGTTTGTCAGATGGCAGCACCAGGATCCTCCCAAAATATAAAAGGCAACCTTCGTATGCCCCCCTAGTAAAAGAGGTTGCCGAAACCTGGTGTAGACTAAACAAACTTAGGCGTACAATTGATCTAATTTGAAGTAAATTGCTGGAGATTAAAAGGAATGATGGTCCGAAAATTCTGAGTTTAGCGATAACTGACTGACTCATATCTCACAGGTTGGCATAATATTTGTAAATTAACTTAAAACAACCTCACAATGGCTTTAATTAAAAATGGGGCATACATACCAAGCGGTTTCTTCATTTTCAATTTTTGATCATCGATTTGTTTCTCCTTGTCCTCAGGATTATCCGACCTGGATATCCTACACAATTTTTCAACTTCTTTTACTATATTGTAGTCCTGACGTAGGTTTTGTCGACAAATTTCTATCAAATCGCATGTCACCTACAATTTTATTCATCAAAATGTACAATATCCCTTACATATAACTTGACATGAAATAAAACTAGTGATTACAAAAAAAAATCTAACATGACCAAGTATTTAAGCATGTACATACATTTTCCATATCGGTGTCTCCTTCATCGGTTGGAGCCGCAAGCCAATATCTAGCGGTTAACCTTTCATCGCAAGCATCGACAGAACTGAAAACCGTTCTGCACGAAAATTGAACCAACAGCGTTTCTGGTGCTGGAAGCATTATTTCCGTGTAAGTTTCTTTACTTTCTTCTTTTTTGTCCTCTTCCAATAATTTTAAAAGCGCAGAAACGCCTTCCAAAAAGCTCTCAAATGTGTTATTTTCTTCCACCACTTTCTGATCGAGTTAAAAAAAAACGTATTACTGAAAAAGCTACAATGACTCTCACTAGGGTTGCCAACTGTCCCGATATCATTACCACCATTTTTTTAAGGGTAACCATTTTGATTATTTAAATAATTTCCAAGAGGCAACAAAATGTACAGTCAGTAAAAATAATGTTTATTCAAGTTTTATGTGGAAAATAAAAAGATAGATAGATAGATAGATAAATAGATAGATAGATTTATTTAGTTCAGATGCAATGTACATCATGCTCAAAAATGAGCGTTGAACAAGTCAAGTTAAAAAAAATACAATAATAGAACAAACATTAAAATAACATCGTCAAAAAAAAACACATTTTAAAAACAATTGGATAGATTATCATTGAAATATTCATCCACAGCATAATAAGCCTTCGCTTCCTAAAATTATTTCAATTTCTTCTTCAGAATCTTAATAGGTAAAGCACTAGTACTGTTGGGTAACTTATTTAAAACTTTTATTATAGAGTGAGGTATATTTTTTTGGATGTAAGTAAATTGAGATACATTCGGCATTAACACATCTTTATTCCTTGTATAGTACGCGTGTTCTTTTTGGTAGCTGTCGAAGAAGGATCTGTTTTCAGTTACAAAGATGATTGCCTGATAAATATACAAACCTATTAATGTGAGCACGTTTTTAGAAATGAAAACATTCTTGCAGGATTCTCTTTGAGTCATATTTAAAATATTCCTAAGACATCTCTTCTGCAAAACAAATATTCGTTTCGCATCAGAGGACATGCCCCAAAAAATAATTCCATATTTAATATATTGTATTGTATATAAGCAAAATATGCTGAAAAAGCTGCTTCAACATTAATATTTTGTGACAATATCTTTAACGCATAACAATATTGGGCCATTTTCCGCTCTAAGGAATCAACATGGTACCTCCAATCTAGACGCGAATCAATTGTGATTCCCAGAAACAACAAATGATTTACTGATTTTGGCTCATTAACCGTATTTGCAAGTGGTAGTTCGTGACCATTTCCCTTTGAAAATGTTATCATTTGGGTTTTATCCTTGTTTAGCTGTAAATTCAATGAAGCAAAATATTTTTTCAAAGTTTCAACAGTATTATTTATAGTTCCTTGAATTATATTAAGATCAGGTGAATCAAAAACTATTGTACTGTCGTCAGCATATTGAACCACATATTCATTTGTTCTTAATGGTAAATCATTAGTATATATAATATAAAGCAATGGTCCCAATATTGATCCCTGAGGTACACCTTTCTGTATTAACATTTTATTTGATTTTATAAATTTTCCCAACTTAACCTCTGCAATGCATTGCATTCGATCGTGAAGATATGATGCTATCAGATTCTTTGCCACGCCTCTTATGCCACATTCCAAAAATTTTGTTAATAAAATATCATGATCGACACAATCAAACGCTTTAGACAAATCCAGGGAGAAAGAATTCGTAGTAGGTGGTAATAGTTTTAATATTAGAAAATTTTTCAAATTGGCAATCTGTTAAGGACAATTTTACAAAATTCTGAAGACTATTGGGACTATTTGCAAGTTGCGTGGCAAAGAGGTCATTATTCAATGGAACAATACAAAAAAATGATGGGAAAGAAAGTAATACTTACTGTAAATAACACTAAAAAAGCCCCATTTTATTTTGCTAAATTGTTTCAAATTTGTTGAGATCAATTATATTAAAAAGTGGTCTTGGTCAAAATTGAAAATTGCTGTGGCTACAAGTTATTTTTGACCTCTGGTGGTAAGCTACTGATCTCTCTTTTTTTTTTCAGTTTTTTTTAATTTGTTCATGTTATATTTTTGTTTTTTGTATGTTTTTATTTTCTTTATTATTTTTATTTTTCTATTTAATTATTGTTAATGTTATAACGCCACGGTTATTCAAAGTGGTGGACTGTATGAATAAAGAAATAAAATGGTTGGAGATGGCTTACCTCCTTTGAAACTCCTATGTTCTTGAAGGGCCCTTCTGATGTCTTGAAAATGTTGATTCGGCTGTCTATTTATTTCTTATGGAGTTGGGAATCACACGCACTTGTTACTATTCGAGTCTCTCGAATGGAATGAATTGAATTATATACAAAAACCATCTCCAACAAAAAACAGTACGTAAAAATAAGAAGGATTTTCGTATTTGAGTGAATAAACTCGAAACAAACATGTTGTTGCAACAAATGAAAAAGAATAGAAAATTTATTTTATATATTTTAAAAAATGAATTGTAATTACAAAAACACCCTTTTGCGGTGAAGCCGCAACAGTTAATTTATATCATTTGTTTTATATACGATTTTTTATATTATTTTCACATGAGCAAAATGTTAAGTAACCTTTTCTATAATTAGCGTCCTAATATTTTTTGTGGAAATCCTGCTTTTTTGATAAAGTCGCCCCTAAAAGTCACGAGGAAGTTGGCAACCCTATCCCATAAGTTGCTAGATTTAATCTTAACTTATAATTATAAAACCTTACCTTTAAAATAACCTCCAAATTTTTCAGAGGGTGCTTTTCCTGGGTCTTGTCCTCTGCAGGCGGCCACCCTATAAGCGATTTCATCTCCGTCAAGGTCAACTTGATTTTCCTAGGAGTGTATAACAGATTCGGTTCCGTTTCCTCTTCCGTCGTTACACAAACCCTTAGAAACTCAACCAAAGTGTTCAACGTCGACAGACACTCTGCATTCGTTTTCGAAAAGTTATCCGCTAATTTATTCAATAAAACAAGAAATAGATCGTTCTTCTTCAACAAGTGTTCCCTCAAGTGATAGAAACCGTAATCGTGTTCTGTCAATAACAATAAAGTTCGTACGATGGGTAAATAGGTCACGAAGGAATTTTCTGTCGTCAGGTGTTCCCACATTATATGTATGAACACTAAGAGGTGTTCTTTTATCGGCATCGCGTTCGCTAGATATACCTCCGACGGGAGTTCTCTCGATTCAGCTAAAGAGTTCTGCATCACGGTTATCTCGACGTCGCAAAAGCTCTGAATAATACTTAATATGCACTCTTGTGCTTGGATGTGACTAGTTGTGGAGCAGTTAGTCTTCAAAATTTGCGCGAAAGCAGGTATTAACGATACATACTTTTCATCTGTTTTTAACGTTACCGTACTGTTCGTATGAATGAGATGAAGAATCGCACATTTTATTGTATTATGAGTAACTAAACAAGCTAAAAAGTTTAATAGTCTGGCTATGTGACTATTGCAAGGGCCCATTTTCATGTCCTCTTTCGGAATTAGAGCATTGTAAACGTTATCCAATATACCTCTTGCTATCATTATGGCGGAATTGGCCGCCAAGTCGGAGATTTGCACACAAATCCTTCGTAATAAATTCAATAGTTGAGGTTGCGTGGATATACACAGCCTATTCACCATGTCTTGGATTATAGTACTGTGCGGATGTAAATGGGCAGACCAAAGCTTCCTCAAGTTAATTATCCAAGAAATTTCTTCTTTCGACAAATCGTCTTGGGTCTGAACCGGTAACGGTAAAGGAAGTAATTCAGAAAAAATTAACAGTCCAGATATAAAAGTGTAAGGCGAGGAAGTGGTGTATTTTATAAGTTCGCCACACATTTGCGTCCACAGCGTTTTATTCAAAGAATCTTTTTCGTTCACTTCCTCCGAAACTGGTTGTGTATAGACCAACAATGCCTCGACGATCTTCGTCTTTACTTTTTGCGCTAAATAATACCCCGACGCACTCGTCGGGAAACTAGTAAGTAGGTTATACGTCTGAAGAAATACTGGAATGGTCGTGAGGTCTTTAAAGTTAACGTTTTGGCACTGGATCACGTAAGCCAACATTTGTTTGAGGAGGGAAATGCAAGGATTGATTACATTCAAGATTTGCAGTCCTTGGTTAGACACAAAAATGGAGGAATGTAGGCTCGGTTGTTCGTAATGTTCGCAAATTCTTTGCAATAATTTTGAAAGCACCGCCGTTCCATCCAGGGAATACAGTTGGAGTATCACATGTTTATGTTTTAATTCGATATAATCGCACAAAGGATTTTCGGATAAACTGGCCGTCGAATGAGAGTGTTTGGATATGCCGAGGTGCTGAATTACCCTCAGACTTGTTATTAAAGATCCGATGTTCTGTATAAAATTTTCTGACTGTTTATCGATAACGTCTAAGAACGGCGTTATGTTATCGGAAGTAAGCGAAATAATATTTTCAAACGGAAACAAATATAAACGGAGCTCTTTCAATTTGTTGCTTACAACATCCTCGAATACGTCCTGTTGACTGATCAACTGGAAAAGGAATTTCGAATGTTTTTCTATAATATTAACGTTAGAGGCAGCTGTAACGGCAATCGTCAATAAATCTACAATGTACGAAATCCCGGGCGACTTTTTAACTTTGGATAATTGTGTCTCCGACTTTTCTTTCGAAACTACAGGTTCTAGAAACTGCAGAAGACACTGGACATTATCGTTTAAGCTCAACGTTTCGGCACAACTAACCTTCCCGATAGGTGAAAACGTCAAGCAGAACAAACCGTGCAGCTCGTCCACGACCTCGGAAGCGTCATAATCGAATCCGAGTTTTCTCCCTATCGCTAACAAGCATTCGATGTGGTACAATGACTGTATCTTATAAGCGACCGTCAAACCCAAATGGTGGGATCTTATCTCCAAACCTTCTTGAATATTATACTGTATTTCTTCGTCCGTCCTCAAGAGACACTTTAAGAGAATATTAATCGTTTCGCTGTTTTCTGAGAGATACTGCAGGCCTTCGGGTATTTCTAGTAAGTTAGAAATAATCTCGAATATAGGCGTTTTAATGAGCGGTAAATTTAAAGTGCTTGGGTATGTGAGGAGCAGCACGAAACACTGTAATAAGTTAAACATCTTGAAATACTCGACCAAAACGTTATTTAAATGGCTGCGTGAGATTTCGAACTGAGCGGATACAGGTAAAAACCGTTTGGGTTGTGAAAACGTGAACGGTCCGCAACGACAGAAGTGTAATATTTCGTTCAGCGACTTTGTGATTAAATTAATTTCTTCTGTCGAGATATCATGAGAAACGTTCCGTAGTTTGATTAAGATGCTGTGCATTTTATGAAGCACCTCGTACAAGTTTAACTTTTTCAGTATGGAAGTTAACGCGAATTTTATCCGGACCAAAGTGCTTTTCCTCAGATTCTGAACGAGTATTTTGTAACCGTTCATTTCCGAAACCGGCATCGTATCGTAATACCCATTTTCCATCGGCAAATTAGAAATATTCCCGAGCAGAAACTTCTCTATCGAAAACTTGTGCTGTAAGTATGTGTCCAAAGCTTTCACTATCATTAATTTTATCGACAGCGCCATATATTCCTGATCGTACAAGTTCAACAATTCCTTGTGCATATTAAAATTGTTCTGCCAGAGCAGTTTGATAAAATCGATACAAGTGCAGCACCAATCAGCCAATCGTACACCGCACTTAATGTGTCTAATCTTATACGCCGGCTGATCCTGAATGTTGGCCAGGTCGTAGTTCATCGCAATTTTCAACCAGTCCATTAGAGATTCAACTATAAAATGCACCTGCTCTGCCAGCTCCTTGTCCTCAGCACTTAAATTCTGGGGATTCATCGACTTTGTATCAACGTACAGCCTCGATATGTCACAAAATACAGTCGTTGGTCCTATCGTACTCGTCAGTCTCTCACATAGGTGGATAAATTCTTCTTTAATTTCTGTATTTAACTTATCAAACGTCTGAGGGTTATATTTAGTTATGCTAGATTTGAAATAATCGTCTGCTATGCCTATGGACACTCTAAGAGCCTCGTCGATTTCAATGGAATTATTCTTTATGACAAAACTTTTCGTCTTGGGGTATTTGCTCAACTCCGTAATGCCTGGGGTAAACAGTTTGATAATATCGTCGTTGTTTGTGTACATACTGTAGTCATAATCTACGTCTTGATAATGTTCACCGTCATCGAGTATGTCTTCATCGCTCAATATCGGCTCGAATTCTTCGACGTCCATCTGAGTACTCTCCTCAGTGGGAGGGGTTCTTGCTTCCTTGAGATCTCTTGATGGGCTTTTTGTTTTCGTCTCCTCCCTTTCTCTTTTATGTTTCTCTGGATCTTCTTCGGGCAAATTTTCTACCGGTGGGGATTTATCTTTTGGAGGCGTGTGAGGTCTTTTAGGCGATTGCATGGGTGGGGTTCTTGGACGTTTACGGTCTTCTCTATCGTCGTTCCGATTATACGATCTCCTGTAGTCGTCATGTTTAAAGCAGTGATCGCTTCTGTCTCTATCTCGATCGTGTGCTCTATCTCTGCCCCTTTCATTCCAATCGTGGTCATGTCTGTCATGATCACTCCATTCTATGTCATGTTCTCTGTCTCTATCTCTGTCTCTGTCAATATCCCGATATTCCCTCGACTGTCTGTCTCTGTCTCTGCTTTCTGATCTAGAGTATCTCTTTTCCCTGTCCCTGTCTCTACGTTCAACATCCAATCTTCCATGATCTCTGTCGAGACTACCAGTTTTCTACGACAAAAAAAAACTAGTTTTATTTCCATTATGGAGATTGTTACAGTGGAGTGCCAAGAATGTAAATGATAAACCAAAAGGGAAAAAAAAGTCACTTACTAGGATGGACCAACACATATTTTAGGTGGGCAAACTCCCGGTACATGCCTGCAGATGTTGTGTCTAATCAAACATACCTGATATGTTACATCTCTGCTGCGTTCTCTGTCTCTGTCCCTATCTCTATCACGTTCAGTGTCAGGAATTCGTGGTCTACCTTTAACATCCCAATCAGTTTCTGGAGTATGATGATAACCCCTTGGATCCTTTGGTACATCAGGGTAATATTCAGTAAATTCCTGCGAGTAGGGTTCCGTCTGATTATAAGGTTGATGATAAGTAGTACTAGGTTGAGCGTTGTATTCTAATGGCACTGGCACTGCTGGTATAGATTCTTGTGGCCATTCGGGCTCAATGGTAGTACCAGATATAATTTGTTGGGCATCAGCAATAGTATTTGGCTGAGCCGGTAAAGATGGATTTACAACAGGTTGGATAATCTGTTCAGTTATATTATTAGTTAAGGTTCCATATACTGCTAAAGTGATTGTTGTGTACCACCCTAGAATTAAAAAAGTTCTATGTGTTTAAAATTCACACATTTTCATGGTAAAAATTGAATAATTATTCTTTTCGTAAAAATTTACAACAAATAAGATATATTATGTAGCATAACAAATACAATTTGGTTGACACTATAATAAAGTTGTTGCCTTAACTTCCTACACATACAAAAAAGACAGTAATTACCTTTCAAAACTAGTCCATCGGTTGGTATCTTTCTAATACTTTCGTCAGGAGTACACTCAAGATTAATACACCCATTTTGGTCATATTCAAATCCTCCTAATGTTTCAAACGTACTTGCACCAGGTTTACCCAAATCGTTCACAAAAAACTCTATTTGGAACTGACTTGGATTTGTAGCCCCTAAACGAACACCACCAGGAAAATCTGCTTGAACTCTTGCACCCAAGGGGATAATTCTAACTTCGGTTACATATACAGGCTTTGGAAACTGAACTAAATCCAAATTTATCTCCTAAAGTACAGTAGAAATGTATAATTAAAAAACAATAATGCTCTTCAGTACTTTTTACCTCTGTATTATCATGAGCAAAGGTATCAAAAAACAACAGTTCAATTTGGTCAGACATTTATAATCTACAATTACTTTTATCGTTTTATACACCACTGATCTCTATTTATGTTCTTGAGCACTGATTTGTGGAGTACAATAAATATAATCTAAATATCAAAACATAACCATAAACAAATTTGAGGTTATGACAAGGTCGCCAATTTTACCATGGTTGCCATCGTTGATGAGAAAAGCAGAAAAGTATTGATTGGTTACTTCACCTAATGGCTAAATACCCCATATATACAGTACTACATACTACTATACATAATACTAGTATTACATATATGAAATACCCTCTGGGTGAAGGCCAAAAAAAGAAGAAGAAGAAGAAGGTTACCCACCTCACTCCTAGGCGAATTTTTTATACGTAATTTTCAAGGTTATAACCAGGGAAACTAGAGTGTAGTTTCCATGGTTATAACCTAAAAACAAAGCAACTGATTGGTTGTATTTAAAAATTATGATGTACATTTAAATTTAGCCAATCAATTTTTTTTTATTTAGCTTATTTCAAATTATAATCTAAATATCATACATCTATGAAATATATGGACCATTGTTTCCACTTTTGCTAACAAGCCAAGTTAGCCAAGATTCCTTCTCTCGTTTGACGTTATAGAGTTATAACACAGTTTTTTGCACTAATACATTCCTAATCATGCACGATACGAGGGTTTAGAAATACTTAAATTTTCATCAACTTCTTGTAATGCAAATAATCAAGGAAGATAATATAATAATATAATAATAGATAATAATAATAAATAAATAAAATAAAATAAAAATAAATAATAATATAATAATAGATAATAATAATAAATAAATAAAATAAAATAAAAATAAATAATAATATAATAATAGATAATCAAGGAAGATGCTCATTAAGCTGATTTATCATTAGATTGCTTTAGAGGGAAAATAACCTTGAGTTCGTTTTTTCGATCGTTATATCTATATATAAGCTTTGTTCGTAAACCTTCCACTGCTGCACTAGTGCAGTAATACGTTGTTCGTTTATTGCAGTGTAGCCAAGTGCAGGTATAATCCAGGTGTTCGAAAAGTCCAGTGTAGTGTAGTAGTGCAGACACTACTACACTGGCTGACAAGGTGGTGTAAAAGTGTAGTGTAGTATATTTTTGGCGCGAAAATGAAACTTTTATCACAAATGTCACATCTTGGTAGATATTTTAGATAGATTAAGAATTTGGCAATATTTGATTTTACTGTGAAATGGCTGATAAATTCGGCTTCCTCACAGTTTCGAACAAGTTCTATAAAATTTGTAATGCACTTTCTTTTATTTTTTTGGAAACAGGTCTCCAATAAAACATGAATTTTTATTTTTTTACGAAGGTAATCTTCATCATCTGATTCCGATTCGCTTCCAGAATCACTAAATAATTCACTCATCACAAATATTTTCTCCATGATTTACAATTAGGTTATACCAGTTTAAGTTTACCCAAATTGAATTAACGAACAGCCAAATGTTTTCTCTAAAAGTGGTGCACAATTATTATTTTAGTGTAACACTGGATTTCACTACACTACAATACACTTTGTGTAGGTTTACGAACAAAGCTATAATATAGAGCTAGAACACGTAAGTACTGTTCATCTTTGAGAAAATATAGTTTTAGCAAACAAATCTTTTCCTAAATATTTACCGTAATTTGGTCTGGCCGTTTCTTATTTCTGAGAAGTGAGAACTGACCTATTGAAATGAACTCAAATTCCATCTCTATTAAGTTATGCATTTTCCATTACTTTCTAATATTCTGTGGACTGTGAGATATTTTAAAAAATTCTTTTTTTGACATTGACAGTATGACAAACGCGACATTTTTGTTATTCTATCTAAATTTTTCTTGCAAATAAAACGTAAAAGGAATTTATTATGTGAAAGATAATTTGGAAGTAAAATCAATTATGTCAGCTTCAAACGTTTTAATAGGTTGGCAGAAAATACGTTCTACTGTATTATTATTTGTACATATATCTTCTAGGTGGTGGAACAGGATTTATAGGTAGTCGTCTCTGTAACATTTTAAAGAATAAAGGTTATGGAATTACCGTTGTTTCACGTATGCCTGGGATTCAAAATATCTCCTGGAGTGATTTACACGCAAAAGGTCTTCCTAAAGATACAACAGCTGTAGTTAATTTGGCTGGTCAAAATGTCATGGATTTCAGGAGGCGATGGACACCGGGATTTAAACAGAATGTTTTTACTTCAAGAATTAATACGACAATTTCATTGGCCAAAATGATTAACGAAGCACAACAGAAGCCATCAGTATTTGTCACAATATCAGGAGTTGGTGTTTACAAACCTAATCAAGAAAAAGAATATACTGAAGACTCGAAATGCGAGGAATTTGATTTCTTTTCTAAATTATGCAAAAATTGGGAAGAGGCTGCTGATTTGAATGTTGAGGCTAGGAATTGTTGTCGAACTGTCACTATACGCAGTGGTGTAGTATTAGGGAAGGAGGGAGGTATGATCAAACAACTATATCTCCCATTTTATTTGGGTTTAGGAGGACCTGTTGGAAATGGCTCACAATTTATGCCTTGGATTCATATAGATGATTTAATAAATCTTATAGTTTATGCCATTGAAACTCCAAAGGTTGAAGGAATACTCAATGGTGTCGCACCTCAGCCTTGCACAAATAAAGATTTTTCCAAGGTAAGAACCAGAGGAATTACACTGTACTGTTAAATAATATGAAATATGTATATAGAAAAAAAATATACTGCAAAAACTTAAGTGGTTTTCTACAGAAGCTGTTATGATATTAAAATTCAAAAACGACTGATGGTTATTCATCTTATTTCAATGTTTCTAAGTATTTTTGACTTTATGAGCAACATGTGGCCAAGCGGCCATGTTGAAAAATTACTTTATCGTACTTTTGCTCGAATTGCGATGATGGTTTCATTCGGTTGAAGCAGCTCATAGTACACATCAAGCTTGTCACACCAAATAGAGAGCATGTGCTAACACTTAGGATTATTGCAGCATATCCATTTTTGATCGCTAGTGACGAGTAGACACGAGTGTAGTTACAGAAGTGTCCGATGCCATATAGCATAAGCTATCTCGTAAATCCCCCAAAATTTTTTTTCAGTCCTGGCAATTAGAGATAAATTCTGGCTCAAGTTTAGTACTTTTTGAGACTGGAGTTCTGAGATATTTGAATTGACTCAATATTATGAATATTCTACACACGGTATTTTTCAGGCCTTTGCAAAAGCACTTCGACGACCTGCTTTTGTACCGCTTCCAAGTTTTGTTCTAAATCTATTATTAAATAAGGAGAGAGCCGTTATGATCACAGAAGGACAAAAAGTTTTGCCAAAGAAAACACAAGCTGTGGGATTCAAGTATAAATATCCCGATATAGAATCGGCGTGCAAGGCTATCGTGAGTGAAAAATGAAGTACTTCCTATGTATTAATAATGAAAAGGCTGAAATATCGTTTCCAATGCAATAATTATATTTATATGTAGAAATAACTTACATTGTATTATTTATTATGTACTTAATAAAAAATTTAAAAATTATAGTTGTAATGCTTTCACCGAAGATTCGCATAATAAATATAATATTTTATTTGTGGGGTATATTCCTATGACTTCCTCATTCGAAACGTTTATTACTTGCTGCTCTGCGATAGTGTTAATTTTTCTTCCCGTTGTTCGATTCCTCAATTCACTTGTAGATATCGGCCTTTTTTGTCTGTAAATAAACAGGTGTCCGGAGGATTCACATATCACCGAATAACTCATATCTGGTGGGCATACAGAAAACTTCCTATTTTGTTTAGAAGCCTAAAATAAGTTTGAATACTGATACTTCATTAAAAAAAAATAATTTAAGCAACAGTCACTAAAATACATGCATGAATACAATTCAAGACTAAATAAAGAAGAGAAAACAATTTTTTGCAGACAAATACAAAATATAGTACAAAAAACTTTTTTTGCGCACTTTTCATCATCTGAACTTTTTTAGTTGCTTTGATTAATAAGAGTTAAATAAAATTATACCAGTATCAGCTTACTTGAACATATCCGAAAGCGAGTAGTGTTCCTTCATGGGAAATGGAAAAATCATCTCCACAACCTTGGGGTTGCCACAGGCATACATCCACATCATGCCTTATACCTAGGGCAAGAGGTAAGTCAGTATTTAAGTTTGCCGTTAACAGTACTTGATGGGAACCTAGATATATTTTATGTGTAATATTATTGGTTAGTCCATTTAACCTTTCAAATGTAACGGCCTTGTCCGTTTCAAAATCACACTCTTCTACTTGCTGGGATGTGAAAGTCGTACCACATTGTGGCATTGCCTATGAAGAAAAAATGTACAGGTTTTTGCCATGATTTTGTTACGAAAACTTTTTCATTTAGATGGTTACGAGAATACTTTCGATCTTTAACGTTCTGTGTCTCCCTTATGAGTTATTCAAACTATTGTTTTTTCAAAATTTGGTTGATCCTCCAGGTTTGTTCAATTAAAACTGAAAACACTATATTCATTTGGAAATCATACAAACTCATCTCAAATAATAACTTAATTACTTTTTGTTATCAATCAAACCTGGGAGTACGTGACAGTAATTTTGAAAATAAATAGGGTTTTTCAAATGAACATTTTTCCAAAGATATGTCTCGCATATCCATGTCTACCTACATTCACTTCATGTTTACAGTTGACATTAAAAATAGCTGAATTATTCGTCTTGTCTCACTTATGGCATACTGATGAGGACTATTAAGTCCAAAACAAGTACATGTCTGGTGAGTTTGACTGACAAATGATCCTAGTTGTTTCCTGCAATGTTATCAGTTACAGTGTTTGGGTGCCTTGATCTGCCAACTCTCAAAGACAGATAGAGTAAGGTGGTGGTTACATCAAAAGCAAATTTATATAAAAACCTATCCATTTCACAAAATTGCATGAAATTTTAGACTGAAACAAATATATTAGGTCTGGTAAAAAGTTTGTGGCGTTTTTCTAGAGAGATAGCCTTAAATGCAAATAACTCACACTGATCGCAGCGACACCAATAAATGCTCGTTGGAAAGATAACACTTCGAGCGTTACTTATATAAACATCGAAATTGGTGCAGTGGTTGGAGAGTTGTTTGCATTTGAAAATTTGCTGTGTGGGGTGAAGGTACTTAACAAAATCTGCTGCGTGGAAATTGTTCGCTTTCATTCTGGTAATTTTGACGTGAAAGACGAGTTATGCTCAGGTTGTCCAGTAAGTGATATAGCTGTTGAAATTCATGAAAAAATCCAGCAAGATAAGCATATCAGAGGTGTCGATATTGGTATGAAGATAGACATTGGCCATAAAACTGTTTTGAACCATTTAGACAAAGCTAGCTACAAAAAGAATCTTGATGTAAGAATTCTTCACGAGTTGAGCACAAAAAACATCTTAGACTGAATTAATATCTGCGATGCGCTGCTGAAACGCAATAAAATGCAGTCATTTCTGAAACTTATCATAACTAGTGATAAAAAATAGGTCACGTACAACAATCGGAAACATCAAAGATCATGGAGGAAGGATGGTGAATCGTCACAAGTTTGTAAAGCCAGAATTGATGTCGAAAATGGTGATGCTATGTGTGTGTATAGTGGGACTGGAAGGGAACTGTCCACCATGAGCTACTTCCAGTTGGTCAGACGATTGATTCTCTACTACTCTACTGTGAACAACTGGAGAGATTATGTCAGGAAATTGAAAGAAAACGGCCCGAATTGTATAATAGAAAAGTTGATGTTTTTCATCACACACAGCTTGGTTGGGAAGTTTTGATGCATCCACCACATAGTCCAGACATAGCTCCCACTGACTATCACTTTTTCCAATCTCTGCAGAGCTTTCTCATTAGAATTAAGCTGGGTTCATAGCATTGTGGATTTACCCGAAAAATGGCGAACCATTATCAATAATAATGGAGCATATTTGGTTTAAATAAGTTCATTTTCACACTATAAGAAAACCAGTTGAATTTTACTAAAAAAATGCCACAAACTTTTTCTCAGACCCAATATATATTTTAATTTGTATATAGTTACACTGCTTGTATTCTGTTCTTTCAAATTTGTGTGAATTTTTAATGCCACCAACATAGTACAGTATAGTACAAACATATTAATATATGTAATAATCAAAGACAGTTATCATGAGACAAATATGTAAGTAATATTATAGTATTAAAATGAATTGTATGAATTTTGCTTTGTTTAAGTTTTGACAACAAAGTAAAAGGTAAGAACTGCCACACCAAGAATTTGTATCCAATGTAACCACTTAGTTTGTTTGAAAAATTTGTAAAGAATTCATATTTATAATTTCGTATGAATTCACATCCAATGCAAGCACCACCTAGAGCACAGAAAATAATCAAATAATAATAAAGTTTTATAAGTAACCCGCAGTTTTTTACATTAGATTACCTACATTTTCTTTTCTATCTCTAAATAATAGGGATATCGAAACTACCAGAGACACTCCTAAACGTCTTATATCTTGTCATAAGGACAATCCAAGGAGTAGAAGGAATAATGAATTAGAATATATATAATTAAATCTTCTAACGCGTACTTCGACTAAAAAAGTTTAAAAATCACTATTGTAGTATGACTATTGGTTTACCTGACTACACCATTTTAAAAAATATATATTTGACGACTATTAACTTACCTCAGTGTCACTACATAAATGTCCCATTTGTTCATTTACTTCTTGAACGATACAACTATCTAAAACGTATTCTCCTGATTGGTCACCTCTGACTAACTCTGGCCACATCAGCCCCGTTTCATTTTTATATAATACGACTTCTAAATTATTATCTGCTACAGTCCATGTAGTCAATTCTGAATCAATTTGTTGATGTAGCTGGCCATTAAGCAATTTATTTTTGTTATAATTTATTTCAATTTCTGTTGGTCTAGTGATAACATTAACTAAATCCTTGTTTATATTTTCCGAAGGAAGTGGAAATTTTATAGTGATTTCTTCAATATTTTGTGACCACCGATAGGTCTTAGGAACATTTTGCACATTATTATCTGCTACTACTGGGCAATCAGAATTAATAGTGAATTTACAACCGCTATCACTAACAACATAGACTGCATTACAATCCTTTTCCAATGTGGCATACTGAACGTCACTTTTTGTTTTTAATTGTTTGAGAGCAATTTGTTGCCAGTGATTATCTTCTTTTGCAAAAGACACCCAGTACAAGAACGTAGCAAATCGTTCTTCCAAATTAATCTGTTTTATGTTAAGTAACAAAACGTGCAATTCTTCTTTTTGAGTCGATGCCGTTTTTGATACAGCATCTACAATTATAAAACCTTCATCGGATCCTATCACTTTGTCGGAAAAAAGTAGAGTGAATATATCATCGTCATTTCGAGCACCTGTATTAACGATATACATAGAACTTATTCCATCTGCTAAAACAGCGAGACTCTTATTTACAAATTTTAACGTAACATTATAATCTCCAGTCTTTCTTTCAGTCGTTCTTGGTACCTGCCATACTATCACAGGATCTATTAGATCGCCACTGAATGGATCGAAATATGTTTTACATACATTCCACTCGTTATCCACAAAATATATTGATTCACCATCATCTAAGTGGTCTCCTATTAAATGATTGTGTAGTCCATATAATTTCGTATGAAGCAAACTATACTGACTTGAATTTAAAAGTATTCTATCTACAGGTTTACTTAAATCTCTTTTCTTGATAGGTATTTCTTGCAGCGATAATTTATAGCCATCAAAATTAGAATCTAATAACAATCGATTTGGAGACAATTCTATTAAAGTGGTCCCCATTTTTCTGATTGTCTTTCCAACAAGATGGAATGAAAATGAGTGGCAGATTAACAGATATAATTTGAATAACCAAGGCTTATGATTAAGATATACAAAAATCTAGTACTATCATTAAACGTACAATCTATTCAACTTGGCTCCAAATTACTGGAAAGTTGTTATCTACAATTATTTGTTCTGTTTTCTTTTTATGGTGTACTCACTCATCTCACAGTCCCAGCAGAAAACAGTAAAAGTATTCAATTAACCTCACATTTTCATTTATATATCAATGTAAACAAACCATAGACAAAACATTAGGCGGGAAACTGCATTCAAAACTATAGAACACAGCGACAGTGGCGCAAGCGGTGGCTAGCAAGGAACTACTACAAAATGAATAATGGAATTCTATTTATTCACTGAAAAACTTTCATGCAGTATCTTCTTCTAGTTTAATAACAAACACTTTCATATTTGAGTAATTTTATATTTTCAGCTATTAAAATACGTTTGGTCAAATATATAATATCTACATAAATACATTTCTATAAATTTTACAAATACAACAACATATAAATTTTTATGAAATTAAAATATATTATATTTAACTCTAGATATAACCTATATGGTGTAAACATACAATATGTGCTTAGATAACGCATTTAAAGCCACAATTAATATTTTGAACATCTCTTAGAGTGGAAATACATACTATAAACTTATAACTGCATAACATAGTCACAATTTTAATCTCCTATAGTTATATGTTTGGTGATTACAAATATATATGTATGCGGGACGATGACGATGATGGACAAATAGCAGGACGTTTAAATTTTCCGACTTAAATATTTTTATCAGTTAAACCATTTTGGGAGCTGTATGGTCTAAAACAGTTTGGTTTTATTCACTTTTATTTTTTATAAGAAAAAATTCGTGAAGTTTTTAACAATAATAATTAAATATTTTGCTAATATGTGTGTACCTATTTCAATAGTCTAGGTATGTTTACAGAACATTTAACATTCACTTTTTAGTACTGATATCTAGGTACGTGTAATAATGACAAAATAACAGCAATTGGCAAGAATGAACTTCTGTCTGGTGTGTTCTGTAAATAAATAATTGGCATACATGGAGCTGCTAGGAATTAAAGAACTGCTGCTATTTTGTCGAAATATTGAGGGAATCTTCAAATTTACACATTATAATAATGTGATATAGGTACCTATATTTAATTAAACATGTATATCTATCTACCTGGTAATTTCAATGCAGCTTATATTTTAATGTAAAAATTACTTTTCATTTTACACTTTTGGTAGCAGTTTTATTAAATATACAACGTGTTTCTTGCAACAAATTAGAATAATTGTACAATTATTATCAGGATTCAATGTTTCTAATTTCACTTGTGGTTTTTAGTTCAAAATTATTTAGCCCCTGAAAGACTGATGCTGTGCGCTTCTTCTAAATTAGTTATAAAAATTGAAGGATAAAAAAAAGATCCTAAATTTTTAAGTAACTTTCAAAAGGCGTTAACTTTTGCGAAAAATAGTCGTAAGGCAATAAGAAAAGCAAATTGGAAGTTATTAGTTTCAGGATTTAAGAGTTAAACATTTTTATCGTGACAAAATTCAGGGAGAAAAATGTTTGATTCCCTTTCAAAAGGTCCAAGGGTTTCAATAATTTTTTTTGGCAATCCCACCTTTCAGCTCTTTTAGTTTGATTCATCTTAAATTTGAGCTGTTATCGTCGTTCACAGCAAAAATGATCTTTTCGGTTTGATAATAATTAATTACTCGAAAACTAATTATCGTGCAAAAAATCCAAGTAGGATTTTGAAAACTTCAAAGTATCGTCTACAAGATTTTCTTATCGTTTTTTATTATATTATTATATTATTTTTTAATTATCGAAAAAAAAAAAGAAAAAATGAAAGAATAATTGAATAAAGCTCTTGAACAACTCAGAAATATTGAAGCTCGTGGACCTTTTGAAAGAGAAGCAAAAATTTTGAAGATTTCTTTCTGCTGAATTTCTTATGATTTCTTAAACGATACGATAACTTTTAGATCTTGAAACTGGCAACTTTAAACATCAATTTGCTTTTTTTGTGATCTACGACCATTTTTCGCGAAGACTTCTGAATACCACCTAAAAATTTAGGATTTTTTTTATCTTTTAATTTTTGTGACTAGTGTATTTCAGCGGTTATATAATCGTACTTCTAAAAATCGCAAGTGCTTGTATCGTTATTTTTCAGTTACAACGACTGAAACTGGCAAGTGCCTACAGGGCATAATACTTAAGTTAGATATAACAAATTTAGAAATGTGAATGGTCCGTATGACAAAACAAAACATTTTATGAAAAAAAACTAAAAACTTAATCAAAATCGATTTCTTCCTTCGAGGCCCTCATGTTTATCTCTATCATCCTCGTTGTCTTTCTTATCTACACAATAGTCGTAGATTCTCAAAATTTAATTAATATAATTCATTTTTATATACCTATGTATTAAGAACAACGTTACTGCCATGAAACATTCTACATTGTTAAAACACTTTGTATATGTATAGAGGAAGTACACATTTTGTTGCATCATAATAATTTATAAATTTAAAGACAATTATACATAGCACATCTTATTATTAACATTTTCATTACAAACGTAATTTCTTACATGATTATCTGTGGCTTTGCTTAAACGAAATTCTCAAAAGAGATTTTTTTCTATAAATTCTATATAAAAAATATGGATTTAATAATATGTAATATGGCAGAACCGCCAATATACTTTATAAAATTATATACAACATATGTTAGAAGAGATACAATGTTCACAAAGTATTAGTTTATAAAACACCTAAGTACAAAGAATGTACCACTTAATTTTTTAGCATTATCTACAATGCTTCTATTATGTACAATTAGTTTTACATTTTATATCGTAAAAGTTGAATAGCAGCATATAATTGGAAGGATGGGTAAGCCTTAGTTAATACATTTTTTATACAAGCATGTGATTTATTCAATGTTGGGGGTATCAAGACAAAATAAATTGGGCTCATTTAGTGATTTCATAGTAATTAAACGGAACTGTAACGATTCTGAAACGGCTGGTCTACTCAGTATAATGTACTGAGTGTTTAACAGGAAACGCCGCAAACTGTAACCATTTTTGGTATGACTATAAAAACAAAAGGTTGGTGTTAACTGCTCCAAAAATAATATAAACACCAAAGTAAATGGTCAATATTTTTTTCAATCCCAATTTACTGACAAGCAATTGATTTTTTTTTATTTTTAAATAAAATATACATTATTTTTTGTTTAATCTGATAGAAATTTTTAATTAGAAAATGAATACTATTAATTTGAGCACTCTAATAAAACACGTGAAGTGCCAAAACAATGTTTTAAACTGTTTTTAAGCTTATATATAAAATTTTATATTATAAAATTTACTAGTACATATGTTGCGTATTTTCATTGTAAATTATTAGTGAAAATGCAAAATCAAATTAAGCAAAAAATATACATTGTGTATTTAAACAAAATGACAATGGCGTGACAAAAAGGAGGTGGAGTTATAGTTTGCGGCGTTTTTACGAGACACTCGGTATACATATTTCAGTAAGACATTCTTGCTTTTTAATTTCTAATGAATGATGAACACAAAAGTGATTTTTTAATGGGGAATTTATTAATTAAATACAAATTGAGATATATAGACTGCGTCGATCGATATCTAGGAAAGTACTGCTCCGAAAAATCTGAAAATTTAGTGATCCTCAAGAATTTTTATAGACAAAAGTCAAGTTATTTTAATTGTTTTGGAGTGTTTCTGGTCATGTCCAACTTGACAACAGGTCTGATACGAGGAAAAGTGTCCAGAAAATAGAAAATTGCAAATATCTCTAAAAGTAGTAACGGCAACCCTAACAATGCTTATATGGCTTGAAAGGAAATTTCAATCTGCATACGACAGACTAAAAAAATACAGGGTGTTCATTTTAAGTTAACAAAGTTATAGCTGTTTGAAGTTATCAAAATGTAACAGCAAGAATGAGACACCTTGTATTAAATGTTTTAATTTGTTGGTATACCATAATGTAGTGTTACCTATACTCTTTACAGGTACCAAAAATCCTCTTCATATCACGCTCCTGAAAAAAGTTACTAGCATCTCCGCGAACCCTTGCATCCGTCAAATTTTTTCTTTCAAAATTAATATCTCAAAATCTATAACTCCTAGGTATAGGGAATATTTAATAAAGTGACCTTCAAATTTTTCGGAGCAGTACTTTCCTAGATATCGATCGACGCAGTTCCCGGTGGGACACTGTATACTTGAATGAATCAATAAAAAATTTACAATTTTGAATTAAAAACCTGTGTGTTCTATCAAAATGATTACTTCTTGCGTGAATTTTGGGACCGCCTTTATTTTTATTTATTACAAAAATGTATTATTTTCGTAACATGGAAGTATATAAATAATCGAACCCAAAGAAATTGTATTTTTTATATTTCCTAATAAAAATAAAATTTATTATGCAGGGGTTGTCCCGAACTATTTTTCACCGTAATGTAGCAGGTTTTATGGTACAGAAGCGCGTTCTGCTTCTATTTTTGCGACGTAGCAGTGATATTTTGGACCGGTCGTGAGGCGAAAACATTGAATCTTACCGGCATATTTATATTATACCGTTCTTTGTGCTCTTTTTATCGTTTAATAAAAAAAAATCTAAATGAGTCCATTATTTTATATGCGGTGTAATCTTATGAAGGTAGGAAAACACGAAATAAAACAAGAAACTCACAAATAAGGCCCTATGGTATACTTTATCCACGTAGCCTCCTGATGTCCGGTTTCTATTAAAAACATTTTTCCACTCAATATTTTTTTAACTATACCCGTAGCTTTCTACAAATATCCGTAAGACATCAGTTTCACATCGCAATAAGGTACACAGCACATTTGATGATCTTTATATTGATATTAACTATCTACATATAACTATATCTATCAAAAGCAAACATTTATTTACTCTATCTGAAAACTGCTAAGTATTTACAATACATTTAGTATTGAGTTGCAATTGTAAATTTAAAATTAAATTAGAGCATTTTCCACAATTTGTTTCTAAAACCATTCATATTGTCCGAAGTTATTAATTTTTTTGTCCTTATTTATGGATATTTTGCCACCTGTGTAAAACATTTAAGTACTAATAAAATAAACTTC